AAATTAAATAAATAAATAAATAAATAAATAAATAAATAAATAAATAAATATGAGAGTAGGCTGAGCAAGCCATGGGAAGCAAGCCAGTAAGCAACACCCGCCATGACCTCTGCATCAGCTCCTATCTCACTCTCTGAGTTCCTGTTCTGATTTACTTTGGTGATGAACAGTGATGTAGAAGTGTAACCCAAAATAAATCCTTTCCTCTCACAAGTTGCTGTAATTTTAAGCTACTAAGTTGGAACACTTGCAGTAATAGGTTACTGGAATAGAACTGGTATTCTTTTTAGTGTCCTAAGTAGGTTTTTGAGGTCTGCAGTGGTCACCAAATTACCTGTTTGGGGCAGGGTGGGGGAGAACGGTCTGTTTTGCTCACACAGAAATAAGCTATAGAAAGAGCTGTCTGATTAGGCTGTCTAGATATAGCACACAGTGATCATCTTAGCTGTTAGTTTAGTCAAGCCTACAGAGAAAACCTCAAGAGCCCAACAAGATTAATTCCAAAAACTATGACATAGAAAAAAAACAGCAATGATATACCATATACAAAAATTGATATCATCTTTGACTTTTTAAAATTTTTCTGTAGGGTTTTTTCTTGTCTGCTTTATTAATGCCATACCCTCAAAGCCTAGCCTTGCACAGGCGCCTGGTAAATGTGTTGAATGAAGAAAGAATGAATGGCTATCTGACGCTTAGTGTTAATTGTTAACTTGACAAAAGTCTAGAATTGTCAGGGAGATTGTTGAGAATGTCCTTGATAATTGGGGTGGAAATAACCACCCACTGTGGGTGGTACCAGCCCTAGGCAGGGAATTCTGGACTGTGTCAGAGTAGAGAAAGTGGGTTCAAGGTCTAGCCTGTATGCCTCTGAGAGCCTGTTGCTCTCTACTCCTGGTTACAGGTGCGACGTGACCAGCTCCCTCCAGCTCCCACGGCTGTGACGTCACTGCTATGTCAGACTCTAACCTGAAACTGAGAGTTGAACAAACCCGGTCTCCTGTCAGTGGCTTTTGGCTGAATCCTTTGTCAATGCAAAAGGAAGAGAAACCAGGACAAAGGTTGACGTCTGGCAGAAGGCTTATTTCTGAAGGGTAGGCTTTTGTGTGGGTTTTGTTATTTGTTTCTTTATTTGTTTCTTTTTTCCTCCTAATTTCTCCATCACGATCGTGGCCTACTTGCATAGCATCCTTATAAAATGCCACGGTGCTTTGTTTTAGAGCAACAGCGGCTCTCGGAAAGGCCCTTGGGAGAATCTCTTTCTGTTGTGGGTTTTTGTTGTTGTTGTTTTTGATTTAACATGGAAAGGAAAACAGAGCTCAGCTTCTGTGCCAATTCTGATTGGTTATTCCTAATGTAATTAACCTCGTGTTCTCTGAAGGATTTTAAAGTTACCCCTGGCTGATTAGTGATGCCTGCCATGGAGCAGGTCTGGAGAAGAGGAAGGTGCACCTGCCCTGTGAATACATGTCTTGGGCAGTTGATTACTGCTGTCTTGGAGCTTTACAAAACAACGCTCCTTATTAGCTCTTCAGTTGGGGTTAGCACTTGTGTGTGGTTTTGGTGAACTGGTAGGCGCAGACATACAGTAGGCTTGAAAACAACCAGTCGTTTGCAATCCAAAGCTCACACTTCACTATGAGTTTTCATATATTTAAGAAAGAATATGACGCTCAAAACAGTTCAAAGTGGCGATGCTATGGAACGAAGAGCGGATAATATAAAAGCATAGCGAGGCTGGAGACGGTTCATTGGTTAAGAGCACATATTACTTTTAAAGTTGACCTGGGTTCTAACACACATGTTGGGTGGCTCACAACTACCTGTAACTCAATCTCCAGGGGGCTCTGCCACCTCCAGCCTCCAAGTTCCACCTCTAGCACCACGTGACTGTGGCTTACCGGCAAGATTCTAACCTATGTCAGTCTCGGTCAGAGAATCATGGCGTCTCCCACACTTCCCTTCTTCCCAGCATTCTGTTCTGTCTACTCCGCCCACCTAAGAGCTGCCCTATCAAAAGGCCAAGGCAGTTTTCTTTATTCAACCAATGAAAGCAACACATAAAAAGAAGACCCTCCTACACCAGCCACTCACTTGCCCACGGACAGATTAGACACATGCACGTAATTATAAATAATAGGATGTTGTTAAAAATAAAAGCAGAGACATTGTGACAACCAGATGCACTGGGTCAGCATTCCAAGTTTCACATGCTGAATGAAGATTTTGCCTATTTATTTATTTATTTATTTTATGTTAGCAAACCGTCAAGGTGGTAAGGCACAGTGGTGCCCACCTCCTCCAACCAAGGATGCTTATACCATAGTTCTTGGATTTGAGGTGGTAGTCAGTCTTGACCAAACTGAGAGTTGGGTTTTCACTGGCTGCTCTGTGATTGGCAGTCTAGCTTGACTTGTCTCTGCATTGTCATTGCTATGTGACTATGTTAGGTCACGTGACAAAGCAACATTAAGGGGCAGGTGAAATGAAGTTGCCAATCCTTTGCCATTAAGTAGCAAAAGAATCTCGAGTTTCCACTAAAACCACCTCTTTAAAGGTAGAAGAGAAAGGCAAAACACATCAACAAAAGCCAGACAGAGAGGACTGTTTTATTTTTTTTTTAGCTGGGAAAGAGAATCAGGAGACAGTGAGCTGGTAGCCTGAGTAGTCTGCCCGAAGGCAGATCAGGGGAGCCAAGACCAAGGAGCTAGAGAGGATGGGAAAGGCCAGAAATCTGAACCCCAGAACCAAGGAAAGGAACGTAGCCTATTCCCGCATTGGTATGAGCCCTCGGGGGTCCATGTTAGCGTTCTAACTCACAGGACTATGCAATGATAAATTTGTGTTGTTTAAACCACCAAGTAACTGATTACAGCTGAAATAGAAAACCGGCCTGTGACATATGCTTGTTTTCCTTTATGAAGGACATGACTGTTGGCAGCGCCTTCCAGCTGCTAATCATGTCTTTTGCGGCTCTCCCGTTCCAGCTCATCTCTAGTTTGTTCTCAAGGTTTGAGGATCGTGCCTCCCAACCCCGACAGTTGTGTGAAGCGATATGAGAAGAAAGGATAAATGGTTTTTAATCCCCTTTCCTCTCAACGAGCGTTTGTCTATCCAAGGAGACCACAAGCCATTGCATAATTGCCGTTGTGTGTTCCGTAATGACGGGGGTTACTTTCTGCAAATGAGACGTTACTTAATTGTGTCACGGTGTGAATGAGAGAGCATGCTTATCCGAATTATGGGGCTAAAATGTCACAGGTGCTGCAGGTACTCCCGGGGACCCACCGTTGTGTGTGACGTTGGTCAAAGCATTGACAGTTACTGGGTGACAGACACGTCATGCTGACCAGCTCACCAGCTCATATGGCTGGCTCTTAAAGGTGCAATAGTTCTAACATTTAACGATAGTCAATGCAGTGTTTACAGCATTGCTTCAGTTTTTGTTCGTGCTCTATTTACTTCCTCCCTTCCTTCCTACATTGGTAAGGAAGACCTTGAACTCCTGGTCCTTCTGCCTTCTCCTCCCAAGTGCTGGGCTCTCAAGCTATGCCACGTTATACCCCTTGTTTGTTCAATTTTTGATGTACATGAAAAACTTTTGAAAATTAATGTCTATGCTATACCTTATACTAGCAAGTCTGAATTCTTGGAGTGAGCTTAGCCACTAGATTTTTTTTTCTGTCCTGGTTTTTCGAGAAAAAACCTGTCATGGAGCTCACTCTGTAGACCAGGCTGGCCTTGAACTCAGAGATCTGCCTGCTTCTGCCTCCCTAGTGCTGGGATTTAAGGAGATGGGTACCGCTACCACCTGGTTGATGTGGATACTTCTGACCTAGAATTGCAGACTGAATTGTGTAGATATCTTCCTAGCCTTTAACTGGTTTGTTTTATGGAGATACCTTCAGTTTATATACATTTTACTTTTGTATATATGTATGCATATATGTCTATACACAAAATAGGCCAGTTGCATAGATATGTGTATATATATACATACACAAACATATATATTTGCTTATATAAAACTGTCTTGTTTTGGAATTTACCAGAAAGTCAATTCTTCAGGTCTTTGTGATTAATGACATTTTTTTCTTAGACTGTAGATTTGTGTATTTGTGTGTGTGTGTGTGTGTGTGTGTGCGCGCGCGCATGCGTAGGTGTGGAAGGTATGTGTGCTGCTGAGAATTAAAACCACACTGTACAGTTGCTTTACTACTGAGCTATATTCTTTGTTCATTTATTTATAGTGAGTTTCTTGAGTCTGTTGGGGGTGTTTCAATCACATTTATTGTTCCTGTTTTCACCATCTCTATTACTAGTATATATATAAAGACCATAGTCTATTTCTGTTGAGCCAACCATGTTATATTGATACCAAGATAAAAACCTCAGAAACAGGAAAGCCCTTTCTACTGTGCTGTAAATAAAGGAAATCCCCACAAAGGTGACTCTAGCCTCTGGGACCTTGGTTCTTTTGGCAGGCCTGGAAAATTCCTGTCTCCTGGGGCTAAGCAGGAAATCTAGCTGAAATGGACCAGTGTGTTTAAGGTGGGACCAGAGGGAAGCTGAGGTAGACAGTTTGCTAGACAGTCCACTTCTTAAAGAAATCAGTTCAGAACCCGTTTAAAAGATTTCTTCATTCATATCAAACATGTTTGGGCTTGGGGCTTTGCCCACTGACGTCCAATTCGCAGTGTTTGAGCCACAGACAATGGTGGGTGGGTGGGGTGAGCATCCTCCAGGCGTTCTCCTTGGACTCCAGCCTTTATTAGAAAGACAGCAAGCAGATGGTGTAATCTTGCTTTTTTTTTTTTTTACTCTCCCTATAAGAAATAAGATGAAAAAAAAAAAAAAAGGAATAAGATGATCAGGGTCTCCTTGACAACAGCCATGAAAATAAGGATAACCTTATGTGATTATGTTTCATGCTTTTTACATTATCATATAATTCACCCACACTTTATGAAACCTAGCTAGTTGACTTGATAGGTAGAGATGGTAGCCTAGGGCAGAGCTCTTTGTGTTAGGTCGTGTGATTGCCTGGAGTACTGACTTTGTGTGTTCTGCATAGCTACTGTTTACTCTTTCCTAACAGAATTAGTTGGTATGGAATTAGGGATACGCCCAATTCATGTCATCATGAGAGCAGCAGTATAGACCTGCTAAGGAAAAACTTGACTCTCTGGCCTGGGTGGGACCTAACCAGGTCAATCACCTCAAGAAACCACCCATAGGAAGGTGGATTTATCTTAATCCATGCTAAAGAGGTAGGAACCAACCATTTAATGAGATACTGTATTTTTCTCAACCAAAATTCTTACCCCTGAGTATAATCCCTAGGACCTCCATGAGTTTGGCTGAGTCTTCCCACCTTTCTGAGGCCTCCAGAAAGGTGCAACTTTGCTTTTTTTTTTCCTGTCTCTTTCTTTTGGATGCTGGCCAGACCTAGGTATACTTTTGCTGGTATTTTAGGCCTCATTACTCTGTTGAAAACTCTCCTCCCTACAATGTGTCTACTTGTTCCCCATGTCAGACCTCTGGACCAGCATGTCCCCTCCCTTCAGCTACCAAAGTGGAGAGCTTGCCTGTCCTGGGCATTATTCTTTTAAATTCTAATAACTGTGTTTTTGATGTTCTGTTTGAGTCCATTTTAAAAGTGTTTTATTAATGAGGTGAAGAACCCCAAGAGGGGCACCCAGGTTTCCTGGTGTCATCATGGAAGATCTTGTGGCAACAGTGGCTTTTGAGGAAGAGGAACCGGGGAGGGAGCTGGTCCACAGGTGGACAAGAGCAGCTCCTGACAGAGCAGCTCCTACCACAGGGTTGCTTGGGAGGCTGATGCTGAGGACTGAAAGTTTGAGGCTAGCTTGGCTTATGTTGCAGAACCAGGACAGCCTGGGTTGTAAAGGGAAATTTTTTTTTTCAGAGCATTTTTTTTTCTTTTTTATTTATTTATTTTTTTTTATTGAGAATAAGAAAAAAAAAGTTTCCTCCTCCTCCCAGCCTCCCCTTCCCCTCCCCCTCCCCCCTCTCTTCTCCCCCTCCCCCATTTTGTTTTTAAGAACATAAAACAGCAAAAAAAAAAAAGGAGTGAAATTATTATTTACTTAAGGGAGGTTTATAAATGGACCTCTTCCCTCTTTTTAGTCTTTCTCTGTTCAACT